TTCATCAGTTATCAAACACTTCATATCATGGCTGGTGGAAAGTGGTTATTTGTTATCAGGTAGTTAGGTGTTTTTCAGAATTGAGCATCTTGTTATAAATAATACTATTTCATTACAAAATATAGGCACCTATGGCTTGACTAAAATTAAAATGGATGATGGCATCAAAATTGAATTGCCAAAACAAATATTACATACTCAAAGGTATCATATCATAATGCAATACAAAAACTATTGCAATGGTATGTGCAAAAGAATTTTACTTCAGACAAAGTATTTGTACTATGATTGGACATTTCTAGAAACTAATTTCAACGGCTATCGAATGACAAAATTGTATGACATATTAAACTCGATTAATCCAAATCAACAACATGCTGTAGCAGGGATTGATGAAATTGTTAACGATGCGATGGAAGGATGAAATGTTTTGAAAGGTAGATCATTTATCCAATTTTATAAAGTAATTTCTGCAAAGCGTTCTAATCTCGAAATATAGTGTTATCCTAAAAGCTGTTAGCGAAATGAATAATTCATTTTCTGGAAAGAGAAATTCAGACTAGTTGCTTCTACCCTTGTCATTAAAGTTCTGTTTACTACGTAAGTATTTAGCTAGGTTGAGTATTCTAGTACTTTTAGAAAGCATAATTTTACCAAGCCAGTGATGAAGCGTCGGCAATGGTTACAATAAAAATCTTTTTAATTAAGAGCGCTTTACAGATATGAACTTTGTCTTTCTAGATATGATTGAAAAATTCTCAATACCACAAATCGATAAAAATCGTCTACAAAAACAAGTAGACATGGGAGTACTATATCAAAAACATGATTATTCTCAACACTGTCAAGAGCATGCCACTTGCTCATATCATTGCATTAATTTTGCATTATCTGATTCAATTGTTAAAGAATTTCAATCACCATGTCACGTACAACATACAGAAAGATGTCCAGAACGTGATAATATACTTTGCACATTGGCCGAGATAGAATACCATATCACGAATGTAATTGATTCAGAATATCGTCAAGAGTTTTCTTACGATTTTCATAATGCAAGTGAAAGTATAGTTGAATTATTTCGACATGTTCTACGTGGTGTTTGCCAGAACAATGAAAAAACAAAAATTATTAAAAATTTATCTTCAGATTCAACATTTGCAATTTTTGATTGGGGACAGAAAATCATTCCACAACGTTATCGAGAACCACAGAGAGAGTACTATGGTAACAAAAGGATTATCTGTCGTAGTTGGATCATTCGTTGTACGGAACGTTCCGATCTCCAAAATCAGCAAACCAAATAATGATTCAACAGCAACGCTTAATGATTTAACAACAACATTTAATCATTTAACAACATCGTTTAATAATTCAACAGCATCATTTAATAATTCAGCAGCATCATTTAATAATTCAACAGCATCATTTAATAACTCAACAGCAACATTTAATAATTCAACAGCAACCATTGCTGACTCCAATTATATACCAACAACATATATTGTTGCATTGACATTTGCAAATCAAAATGATCTTGACACAGTCAGTGCAACGCAATTGATTATTGAAAAATTTTATGAAGACCATTCTCACATCAAATATGTTTTTAAAAGATCTGATAATGCAAGTAACTTTAGTTCGCACTCCACGACAGAAGCCGCACATTTGATTTGTAAAAAAGTAAGTAAATAGATAATTATGCTAAGAAAGATTGGGGTTAATCGTTATATTCCATTTCATTTCGTTCGGTCTTGAATTACTCGTAAGAGATTATAGTGAATTTACAGTGATTATAGTGTTTCCAGATGTTAAATGAGAAAGCGATCTACAAATACTTGGGAATGGAACAGAGGCTAGGTTTAAAGGAGTCTGAAGCGTGAGATTGTGTTGAAGACAAGTGCTGTAAGATAGTAAAACATTTATGGAATTCCGATCTTACTTTTCGTCAAAAGTGAGCTTCCATAACTCCACTGTAATATCTGCATTCAGTTATGTTATGAGCAACATAATCAAAGGCAATGGTAAATATATAAGTGTCTTAGAAAAAGGAGAATATATAGATAAAAAGTTTCGCAAGATTTTCGTGGAACTTAAAGCTCGATACAAAGCCAGTTCTGTGTCCAGACTGTATCTACCAACTGAGCAAGGAAGATGTGATTTGAAATCAGTTAAAGATGCATTAGAGGAATCAACCATATACTCATGGGCGTACCT